TAAGATTTATTGGAATTGATATTTCTTAAAAATATGGTGTATGCTGTTTGGATCGTATTCGGTAGAAATCAAAAAAATTTCTGTTTATATTGTCTAGAATATTTTTTTTTGGAAATGCAAATCCTTTCTCTCTCTCTAAAATTTTTGAAATAGTTTCTCTCTTTAAAATTTTCATGGAGTTTATCTCTCTAGAATTTTAATATACTTTCGCTATCTAAAATTTAAAATTTGAGATAGTTTTTCTATCTATAACTTTTTAAATAATTTCTATCTTTAAAAATTTCACCTACTTTCTCTATCTGAAATTTGATATAGTTTATCACTCTAAAATTTTAAAATATTTTCTCTCTCTAAAATTTAAAATTTGAGATAGTTTCTCTCTCCAAAAATTTTCAAGTAGTTTCCCTTCCTAAAATTTGATATAGTTTCTAATCTCTAAAATTTTAGTATGCTCTCTCTCTCTCTAAAACTTAAAGTTTGAGATACTTTCTCTCTCGAAATGTTTTGAGATATTTTTCTCTAAATTTTTTTAAGTAGTTCCTCTAAAATTTAATGTAGTTTTTCTCTCTAAAATTTTAAGATACTTTCTCTCTCTAAAACTTAAGATTTGAGATAGTTTCTCTCTTTAAAATTTTAATGTCTCTCTAAAACTTTAAATTTGATATAGTTTCTCTCTATAAAAATTTGAGATAGTTCATCTCTCTAAAAAATCATATATTTTCTCTCTCTAAAAATTTTATATACTTTTCTCTGTAAAATTTGATATAGTTTCCATCTCTAAAATTTTAATATGTTTTTTCTCTGTAAAATTTGATGTATATATTTTTTATATCAGCTAAGTGTTAAATTATTCATCTCTCATAAGTAATTTGGTAAATTTTTCCGCATCTTTTTATTGAGACTTGAAAGTTGTCGCAGATTATTACAGGCGCCATAAGAAATAACATCATTTTAATATTTTAATATTCGACACACCATAAGAAATAAATGCATAAGAAATAAATTCCATTCAATATTTTAATATTTCTGAATAACATCATAAGAAATAAATACAATATATTATAATGGTCAAATTCCATTGGATATTTTAATATTTCAGATTTTATTTATTATAATGGTCAAATTTCATTTTAATATTTAAATTTAATGGCGATCTTTTGAGGTCCTAGAGAGATAAGATCACTTTTCATTTCTTTTTAAATAACATCATAAGAAATAAATGCAATAAATTATAATGGTGATATTGCATTCAATATATTAATATTTCTGAATAACATCTCAGGAAATAAATGCAATAAATTATAAGGGTAATATATTGTGTACCACACACCATTGGAGTATGGCACACATTTACCTTGCACTATTTATGCATAAGCCATTTTGTTTTATTCTCCATTTTTATAGGTAGTTTTATTCTTCTTTTTTATCGGTTCGCATGATCCTTCTCCATTGTCCGCACATTCCATTAAATCGTTATTCCCTCAAATTATGTCTTGATCGCTCGCCTCTTTAATAAAATATTGATTTTGTTATAATAATCTTTTCACATATTCAAATTAGAAAAATTCTCATTTCAGAGCAAATCCTGTGCAACCATTGCGCTTTTATTCCCCTTGGCTAAGGATTTGAGTAGGAAATGAAATGATGGTTTATCTTTTCACGTAACGGGGTGATGTCTAAATAAAAAACAAAGACATTGTTTCTTGTTGTGAGTAGCGAAGAGACCTGATACAGAGCATAAGACTCTTCTCCGTTTTCATCTTAACGTTGGATCAGCACTTGTCCATCTTTATCATTTCCTCACCCTTCACCAAGCGGCCAGCCAATTTTAGATGACTCCCAGAGGAGGCTGATAGCATTGTTTTTCTTTCACAATTCAATTCCTTTTAGTTCTTCTAAAAATCTATCTAATTGTGGATGCTATAGCTAATTGTGGTGTTGGGTATAGAACTCCTAGTTATGACAGATTAAGAACTACTCTTTTGAAAAAAGTGAAAGTAGAGATAACCGAATACAGCAAAGAATCTGATGCACAAGCAGTTAGATCATTGATGTACTTTGGAAATCAGCTCAAGAGGTAGTCAATTTATCATTGAAGTTTTAAGGATTGCAGATGGAGACATGCCATATACGAGGGCATAGAAAGAGCAAAGGTGGCTATTACGGCTTACTACAATGTGGGAGATAATTGATAGGAGATGGAATCTACAGCCGCTTTCCTCAACCCTGCTATTTTCTACAACCCCAGTTTCAAGATTCATTCCAAGCTTTCATGATGAAGATGGTTCTCAATGACAAAGATAAGATGGAACTTACTAAGGAATGTATATAAATGCCCATGGAGCTTTGGGCAATGACTTTGTTATAATGGCTAGGACATCGAATACCCCAGGTATGCTAGCCTCAATTATGGAATATTCTAAGATCAGTTGTTTCATCTGTGCAGTTATTTATTTGTTGGTTGGTTATTTTGGCATGACATCTCTTATTTACACCAGGTGATTGGTGGGCTGGTTATGGATATGAGGTCTTTGTATTGGAGAGGGCTACCATTCGGATAGTAGGAGTCTTGTGTAGGGTTCTCGTGAACCCCTAGCTTGCGGAATTGAGAATCCCAAACACAAGGATCCCACCCAAGATCGCTTACATGATTGACTAAATGCGAAATAGATGAATACAACTATAAATCGAGTGCGAGAAATAAAGCAAACATAAAAAGCAGACCACAACAACACACGATTTATGTGGTTTATCTCGTAGGGCTACGTCCACAGCCTCGGCAACTAAAAATCTAAAATCACAATGAAAATTACAGTTTTAGGTTACAAGAGATAATACCTATCTCTAAACATTGGTAGAAGACCATCACTGATCTTCCCTTCTAAACCCGCTCTCCAGATCAAGCCTCACCGTCGATCAGTATCTTTTTTCCTAGCGCAATATCATACCGCTACCGGAAAGATAACCTCGAGAGCAACCGAGAGGCTTTCTCTATTTAAAAGTGAAAGTTAATCAACCCAAAACTCATGATAATGCCGCCTCTCTTTCGGAGGCCATGTCTCTCTTTTGGAGAGCCATCTCCATGCATATGCACCTTCGAAAACGTTCACACAAAAGACGCAACAGGTTGGAACAGGAAAAATTCAACGATTTAGTTTTTGTGCATTGCAATCGAGCCATGAATCATTATAGGGATGGAAAATGTAAAGCTATTGTTTACGATGAAATCGATGTGAGTTCAGAGTGGCCGACTTCTTTTTTCCTCGTGCATGATTCTTGGTTAGACAATTTGCCTTTTGGGTAGTCCATCAACTTATGAATAATTTACAGCCAAAGAATATCTATCTGTGCTTGAGGAAGATATGTACGATATAGAAATTTTGAGAGTTGATAATTTTATCATTTGAAGCTTCGTAGTGTACCAATTTTGGGTTACTGCATCCGGTCTTGTCTAGTGGACCCTTGTTTTTGATGGACGAAGTTGCCAGTTCGATTTAGAAACATATACCACCATGTCCAAAATGGAACAAACATGGTATTTTATCGTTAAGTGGACTCCACACCATATGGATTTTTCCCAACCCAAGGGTATACCACTATTTTGTATGTAACAAGTCATCCCACCTCTCCAGTCTCATAGGTTGATGGTGGAGATGAGAAGTTTCTCCTCTTGAGCCAGTAATGGCTGAGGAAGCGTCATCTCCACTGTTTGTCACTGAGAATAGATGGAGTGGTCACACAAGTAATATAGCAATCGCATACACATATACCAGCATATGCATGTTTAAGAGTTTTTTCCAATTCATCGATCGAGAAAAAAAGGAGAGTTCTTTTCAATTTTTTGCCTACACCTTTTTCACATTTAGGAGTTCTTAACTTGCAAACTGGAAAAGAAGAAAAGGAAGAGGATTTCTTTCCCCGTAGACTTAGAAAGCCATGATTAACCTGTGCTTCAGGTCGACATGCACTTTGGGCGACCTGCCCAAGAGCAACTCTGTTGTGGTTTAACCTCAATATACCCCAACGAACGCATTTAGGGTCATATGCGCCACCCTTGCAAAATGAAATTTGCTCTAGCAGTACTTTTTTGAAGAAATTGTAAGTTGGAACCCTAGTTTTAGGGGGAGAGAGAAAAAGCGGACGTCAAAGAGAGAGAAAGGTTTTAGAGAAAAGAGGGTTTTCAGAGAGAGAGTTTCAAGTAACTTTCCATTACTTCCCCTTTCAACCTGTGGGCTTAGGACGTGTGAATGAAGGTGCTAAAATCCAAGGTGCTCTTATATTTAGTTTAATGTTCGTGGGTTTGAGGCCTGCCTTCTGTGACAAATGCCAAGATGTAAGGCCTCGTACAAATTTCATTTCCCTCAATAACATGACACCAGTCCTTCGCATCATAAGCCAAGCCTGCTATCAGCTTCTTCGTTAAACCGTCTACCAAAAATTCAAAATTCGCCTACGCTTGTAGTAAATACTATCATTTCAGCCCCGTTGCCCATGTGCCCTAACCTCTGAATGTGCCCTAACCTCTAAATTACATCAAGAGGCCCAATACCTAAATATCAAAGAAAGAAATCTTCCAAAATGAAGCCTCAATTTTCCTCTCACCTCAAAACCTATCAGCCGTATGAATTGATTCCTCTCTCTCTCTCTCTCTCTCTCTCTCTCTCTACTACTACTACTACTACTACTACGTACGTACTACGTACTACTACTACTACTACTACGTACGTACGTACGTACGTACGTACTACTAACTAACTAATAACGTAATAACGTAAAGTAAACGTAAACTAAACGTAAACTAAACGTAATAACTAATA